TGCCTTTGAAGTGCAGGGATTAAAGGCATGCACCACCATGCTTGGTTTTCTTGAACTTTAAACTGTAATATGATAATGTATCTATGTAATGAAAACTGAATTCTTGAGATTATGTTCATTAATAATTCATTTTGGAAATTTAAAGCTGTTCGTAGATTAACTTTTGTAAAATCACATAAAATATGTGGGTCCTTTTAAACTTTCTTTTGTCATTCCAAAATTGTAACAAATTTTAAAATCTTAACAGTTTTTATTATAAAGACATTACTAAGCAATTTAATTATGGTTAACATAGAATGTGATTTGTACTTGCTCATTTAAGTGCATTTCTTACTTTCAGTGTGCGATTCTCTCACCAGCATTTAAAGTGCGTGAATTTTCCATAACAGACCTTGTCCCCTACTCAATCACATTAAGGTGGAAGACTTCTTTTGAAGAAGGGACTGGGTAAGTTATTTTTAAATCTTAATTATATTTTATCTTAAATCTTCAACCAATTAAATCTGCTTTTCCTAAATCATAGGAATTTATGCTTCTTAAAATTTTGTTAAATGTGTGGGGCTCAGTGGTTAAGAGAACTGGCTGCTCTTCCAAAGGACCCTGGTTCAACTCCCAGCACTAACATGGCAGCTCACAACTGTCTGTAACTCCTGTTCTAGGGGATCTAATACCCTCACACAGATATACATGCAAGCAAAACAACAATGTACATAAAATACAAATAATTTTAATAATTATTAAATGTGTTAAATAGTAATAGAGAAAATAGATTATAAAAATATCTTACAAACCACAATGAGCATATTTGTTAATTCACATTAGCTGTTTTTAACAGCTAGTGTATCTGCCCACACCTGTTCTTTGAATATTCATAAATAAAAACATGCACCTACTCAGTATGTACAGGATCATCTGTGGAGCTCCAGTGTAATTTGCTTTTGAAAAAGATATAGGACTTTCCCATGTCAGCAAACAGTAACTATCACAACAATTGAATATGCCATAGCAAATAGCCAAAGCACTAGGAAAATCACATTTTGCTATTTTAGGTGGTGTTTAGAAATATTGTTTTGTACACAACTATGCCCAGAGTGTTTGCTATGTCTATTAAAATAGCAGAGTAGAATTGCTTAGCCAGAGTAATCAACCATTTTGACTCATACTAACAAATTAGCGTTTAGTACAATATCTAAAAAGATCCCTTGCATTGCTATTAATACAAGATTACATGTTTTATTTCATTTCCCCTGTACTTTTAAATTTAACATGATTGTTGTAAAAAAAAAAAAGTACCCTTTTTTTCCTTCCTAATAATTTGACTCAGTTGGTAGAGCCTAGCATGTACAAAGGCATGGGTTCCATCTTCAGTACCACATAAATGGACATAGTATGTTGGAACATGCCTAGTACTCAGGTGGTGCAGATAGGAGGATCGAAGTTCAATGTGCTCAGCTACAATAGAGCATTGAAGGCCAGCATGGGCTATAGAAGATCCTGTCTAAAAAAACAAAACAAAATAAAAAGAATGTTTTTATTACTGTGCAATAAAATATTTTACGATATATTTTATTGTAAATATTACATAGATAAAATATAAATATTTTATTATATATTTATAAGCATATAATGTAAATTATATTTTGTGCTTCTGTTGACATTTACATTGTTTCTGTAAATTGCTCCGCATGTAAGTAGCTTGCTTCCCTACCAAAATAAAAAATTGTATTTTACTTGCCTCCCTTTGGAAATGGCTTATTCAATGAATAAAACTATCTACATTGTGAACTTGCTTTTGTTCTGTGTTCTGTATGTTATTATACCCAAGAAACTAAATTTTTTGTACAGATTTCAAAAATACAGACTTTAACTTGTGCTGGCCAGATTCATGTCAACTTGACACAAACTGTAGTCATCTGAGAGGAGGGAACCTCAATTGAGAAAATGCCTCCATAAGATCAGGCTGTGGGCCAGCCTGTAAAGCATTTTTTAAATTAGTGATTGGTGGGGAAGGGCCCAACCCATTGTGGGTGGTGCCACCCTGGGCTGATGCTCCCAACTTCTGCAAGAAAGCAGACTCAGCAAGCTATGTGGAACAAGCCAGTAAGCAGCACTTGTCTATGGCCTCTGCATCAGCTTCTGCCTCCAAGTTCCTGAAGTGCTTGAGTTTCTATCCTGACTTTTCTTTGATGAAAAACTGATGTGGAAGTATAAACTGAATAAACCCTTTCTTCCCCAACTTGCTTTTTGTCATGTTGTTTCATTGCAGCAGTAAAAACCCTAACAAAGACACAACCCTATATGAATGCCTTGTAGAGTATTTGGATGACTCATGTTAATTTTAGTTTAAGTCAAGAACTGTTCTGTAGAGTTCAATTTCAGTTAAATATGTAAGAAAAATCTCAAAATATATAGAGAGCTAAACTAAAAAGCATATGTGGTAGTGACCGCAGTAAGAATGAAGAAAGTATTAGTAGGCTACTGAAAACTAGAAAGAAATGTTTAATCTGTGTAACTTAAGCCCTTGAGTGACTGGAGTGATATGATTGTGTTATATAATAAACAGCTGTAAGCAATGGTCATAAACATTCCTGTTACATTCTTTAAAGAATAGAGATCACTCCATGTTTAAAACTTCCTGCTCTAAAGGGAAGAAAACACTATAAACAGGCATAACAACTGCAATATGACTAAAACTTCAGAGACTTTCCCTTTTAGGAAGTATTTGCAATAATAACATAAATGTGTCGCTTTCTATTTGTTTAGTAAAAAGTGCACAGATAGAATATGTGCATTCAAATGATGAGACAAGTAGGGCAAAGGCAGTAGCATGTCTGGGTGACTGATACACAGATACTTACTGTTTTTTATATGTATACCCTTTTGAAAACTTAAGTTTATTTCCAAATAAGATTATTTTATTGGGGCTATAATTCAAAGGGCTGGATATGGTCAAGTGTTTGAGAGTTAATAGGCAGGGCCTTGGCCTTCCTACATATAATCTCATAATATGCATATTCTCTGATAATTTTTCTCTTGGTGTACAGTGATCAATTATGTTAGACATTCTAAAAGCCTTAAACTGTAAACCTGATGAAAATAGAAAAAATCCATAGGTGTTTTTCCTTATGTATGTTCCTCTTTGCAATTGCTGCTCATGAATTAAGAGTGAAAGAATGGTCTGCCATTGGGTTCCCAAGCAACCTATTAGTTTTATTTAAGTGAGTGTCTTTTCCACCTGCACTTTAGGGAATGTGAAGTCTTCTCTAAGAACCATCCTGCCCCATTCTCAAAAGTCATAACTTTCCACAAGAAGGAACCATTTGAACTAGAAGCATTTTATACTAATTTGCATGAAGTGCCTTATCCTGATCCAAGAATTGGTAAGACAACAAAAATATTTAAGTTCTTAACCTTTAATAAACAACATATACCCAGGTGGTGGTGGTGCATACCTTTAACCCCAGCACTTGGGAGGCAGAGGCAGGTGGATCTCTGTGAGTCAAGAAGAGCCTGGTATACAAGGGTAGTAGTTCCAGGTCAGTGAAGGCTACACAAAGAAATCCTGTCTCAAAAATAATAAAACGAAGCAAATAAGCATTATATAGAATTAAGTAAGCAAAAATTAACATTTCATTTAAATTAGTCCTGATTTTAAAGAAATTTGTACTGTTTTGTAACTATGAACATTTTGTGCTTAGTTTATTTCTAGAATAGCATATTTGAATAGTTCTCATTTGTTTTGGCCTCTGTATTAGTGTATAGTCTTTGTACAAGATGATGGGTTTCATTATGACATTTTCCTTTCTGTGTGTATACGTAAAAGTAGTGTGCTTTGATCATAGTCACCCCATTATCCTCTCAACCTCTCTTTCTACCACTCCTTCCTTTTCTCAAGTAGTCCTACTTCTGTTTTCATTGACTCTGTATTCTGTGTATTTTAAAAGTGTCCTGAGAAGTTAATGTCAAGGTTGTTTAATGAAAAACACTTAGGAAAATTGTATTTATATCATTAACACGACTATGTAACTCTGAAACTGTATTGTCAAGTGATAAAAAAGAGCAAATGGGGAGTTGTGAGATCCATTTTATCTATTTATGTTTAAGTGATACAGTACACAACATGATTTTATAATATTTAAAAGAAATATTTTAAAATTTTTTCTCTATTAATAAACTAAAAAAGAGAAAGTAAACTTTGAAAACAATTACCAAAGCAGTAGAAGTTACTGCAAGTTATACTAGTTTTTATGGCTGCTGTAGTTCCACCAGCTAGATTGCTTAGGCAACAGATACTTATTGTCTCTATTCTGAACTGAGCTATAGAAAGTATGTTCCCAGCTGGTTGGAAGGTAGAGAGTTATCTCAATTGGTTGCTCAGACAGCCAATTTTGTCTGACTGGAGATTGAACTCCTGATCTACACTTGACCCTCTTCTCATTACTGTACTTTACTAGTCTTAATTAATAAAAAGAAAAAAGAAAGTATGCTTCCTAATAGGGCTGTAAAGGAAGGATCTACTACTCAAAGTGCCTCTCCTTGCTTTGTAGATGGCCATCTTCATAGTCACGTGGCATTTCCATGTATCTATGTAGGACCTTTTCTAAGTATCTCATTTTAATAAGGAAACCAGTCTTTAATTAAATAGCTCCTTAAAAAACAAAACAAAAAACAGAACCAAAACCTATCTACCAATACTATCATCTTGTGAGGTACTTCGTGGGACATAGAATGAGTGTTGGGGTACAACCCAACCTGTAAAAATGTAAGCTAAACTTGTTCACTGGCCTGTCTTAGTTTTTGGCCTGTTAGTCTCTCTTTAGTTAATACCACTAATTTTGGTATAGGAGAATTTGTTTTGTAATGTTTGTTTTGTAATGTTTGGAAATGTTGTATTCATGAACAGTAACTATTTTAAACAAATATATATATATATATATATATATATATATATATATATATATGAGAGAGAGAGAGAGAGAGAGTTTTCAAACTCAGAAATTAGATTTTGTTGTTTTGGCTTTTAATTAATTATAAGTTACTTAAAGTCATTTATTGGCTTTTGAATCAAATCAAATTGTCCTTAGTTTAAAAAATACCAGCTCTTGATCTGGCAAGATAGCTCAGTGTGATAAAGGCACTTGCCACCAAGCCTGATGAACCTGAATTCAATCTCCCAGATGACTCCCATGGTAAACGAAAAGAAGTAACTCCTGGGAATTTCCCACTGACCTCCATACTCACTTGGTGGCATGTATGTATGCACATGCACATGATAAACACATAAATAGTATCAAAATCACATTTTTTCCTAGAACATTACTAAATGTGTGTTTTCATACCAGCTTAATACTGTAAAGAGGATAATCTGAGCAAAGCACTAGTTCCATAGCAAGCATCCAGAATTTAATCATATTTTACATATGCCTTAAAGAGGATGCTTATTAAAAACCTTTAATGAGTTTGATCTGAGGTTCATACACTAATCAAAGCTTTTTTTTCTTTAAGGGAACTTCACTATTCAGAATGTTTTCCCACAGTCTGATGGTGATAGTTCTAAAGTAAAAGTTAAAGTTCGTATTAACATCCATGGAATCTTCAGTGTGGCCAGTGCATCAGTGATTGAGAAGCAGAATCTGGAAGGTGATCACAATGATGCCCCTATGGAAACAGAAACTTCATCTAAGAATGACAACAAAGATGATGTGGTAGGTAGAAATTGTATCTCAGGTTCCCCTCACCTGGGATCATGACAGCACCCCACTAGTGAGTACTTTATTTCCCAGGGTTAGCATTGGGGTTCTTCTGTAGGGTTTCATCTTCATAACCACACTAAGGAAGACTTAGTTTAAGAATGCTCTACACCTTCTATCTTGTAATACACTTCACAAGGGCAAGGCATCTTCTATAGCTTATATGGAACATGTGAGTTTTGAAGTCTATTGATAATTCTTTAAAACATACATTTTATTTATAGCTAGATAAAACTAGGAGTAACTTATGAACTAAACATTTATTTCTGTTCTTCTTTGTAGACAGGGTCTCACTATGTAGACGAAGTAGCCTCAAATTCATAGATACCCACCTGGCATTCTGTGATTAAAGGCATGATTCTTATATAGTTAGGAATATATTTTACATATTTTTAGTATTTTTTTCAGGGTTTAGTTATAAATCATCTTAAAGGGATATTCTGTATGTCCAGTGACATTCAAATGTAGATTTTCTACTTTATGAAATATTTATGAGGCACCAAGTTTACTGCTGATACACTATAGAGGAAGGAGTATTGGGGAACTGTTAAGGCAAGTGCTCATGCTACCCAGACTGTCCTTAAACTCTGTATGTTGTTGAGGCCAAATGAACTCCTGAGCCTCCTCCTACCTCTAGAATACTAATATTACAGTTGCGCATCCTTGTCTCTGTGCCCAGTGCAGGGGGAGCTTGTTTCATTGACTTGAAGAAAATATTTACCTTTTTACATGCACAATATGTTTGCTATTGTCAATTGCATTTATCAGGTATTTTTTTCTACTCACATTTGGAGTAATTCCAAAGTCCTTCCCTTTATTCATGCATTTAAGAATGGGTTTTCAGAATGGGAGGTAGCTTAGTTGGTAAATGCTTCTTACAACATGAGGACCAGAGTTCAAAGGGAGAACCCACATTTTAAAACCTGAGCTTGATAGTACTGGCTCATCCTGGAGAGGAAAGACAGAATGAACCTCTGAGCCTTGCCACTTAGCCTAGCCTGCCTGTTAAATAAACCCAATGAGAAACCCTGTTTTTTTTTTTTTTTTTTTTTTTTTTTTTTTTTTTGTTGTGTGTGTGTGTGTGTGTGTTTTAAAGTGGTGCTTGAGGAATGACACCTCTAACTAAAATTTTTCCTTAAAAGAAAAAGTGGGGTGAGAGCTAGAGAGATGGCTCTGTGGGTGAGTACTGGCTGTTCTTCTAGAAAATTTAGGTTCAATTCCCAGCATACACAGGGAAGCTTACAACTCTGTGTAACTCCAGTTCCAGAGGATCCCTTGCCCTCCTCTGGGCCTCTACAGGTACCAGACACACAAGTGATGCACAGACATACATGCAGGCAAAACACTCATAGATACAAAATAATAAAAATATTTTAAAAGATTGGAGAGGGTCTTCAAGTAGGCATAGTTGTAGGGGGTAACTTTAGTATCAGCTACTCTGTAAGCGGAAGTGAAATGGTTGCATAAGCCCATGCCTGAGGGACATTAGGAAGACCCCATTCAAAAGGAGGAGGGTTATCTTTTTACAAGACAATTTCCTTTCTTTGGAAGTTGGCTGGCCTGTTTCATTTAACAAGAACTGTATTTATCCTTTCTTCTTGTTTGATCAAAGGTGTACTAGTAGCTTTAAAATATTTGAATTATGGCCCAGGGTATTTTCCCATGCAGCATTTTGTTAGTTGTATTGTTCCTTGGGAAATGTCAAATTATTCACACACACAAAGACAGTTCTTAATAATTTAATGACATGATAGTGAAAAGTTTTTTCTTTAAATATAAAATAAAAATTCTGATACAACATTATGACCATTTCCTTGAAAGCAATTTTGAATATTTTTACATTTTGTTTACTTATTTATTTCGCTTTGCAGGATATAAAAACCCTAAGCAATCACTCTACCACTCTCTACTCCTGAGTTAAATCCCCAGTAGCATTTTTCTTTTCTGTTTTTAAATAAAAGAAAGCATTTAACTGTGCTATGGATTCAGAGGATTAGAGTTCATAATAGCAAAGCAAAGGCATGGTGGCAGAGACAACTGAGATTTCATCTTGATCCGCAAGTAGGAGGCAGAGAGCACCAACATTTTTTTCTGTATTACTGTGTTGCATTTAATATTTACATTATGTTCCTCTGTGACCACAACTCAACACTGCATTTTTTTTTATCTGTTGTCATGATGTGGGAGGTTATAGAGTTGTAAAGAAAGATTTGGAATATAAAATATGACTGATCCTAAGGGCTAGGGTTGTAGCTCAGATGTAGGATTCTTGTCTAACATGCACAAAGCCTGGGGTTAAACTCACAGTAGCAAAATAATAATAATAATAATATTATTATTATTATTATTATTATTATTATTATTTAGCCTGTTTTTCTCTTTGGCAAAACTGTGTATTTATATTTATTTATTTATTCAAGAGAATGTTCTGGCAGTACATATTTGCTCAATTCCAGATAGAGCAAAAAAAAATGCAATGATTCCTATATTCTAAGCTTTTTCTTTCAAGAGGATAGCGATGAATGTGATTAGAAAGGGTACAAGAATGTATCTGTTGTTTGTTTGCCAATGGACAGCCCACTTGGCTGTTTATATCTGAGTGTTTCAAAGACATCTAAGTTTTGGTATTTTCTACACTGAAAAATATGTAACAGAAGGAAGGAATGGTGTTAGAAGGAGAGGAAGAGGAGGATGGGAGGAGGTGAGGTAAGGGAAACTGATCAGAATATATTGTATGAAAATTGATTTTCAATAAAAATTAAATTTGAAAATATGTAACTGAATTGTATGGTTGAATCTTATCTTTTTTACTGCACTTCCATCTAACTAAGGTCATCTCCATAATATTTTAATGTCAAGTTGAATATTCTCCCTTTTTAAAGCTTAATTTTAAGAATTCTGTTTGAGAACAGTTATCTGTATTCTTTACAAATTTTTAGTCAAAAGGTGAATAAGAAAGTATATTTACACAGTTTCAAATTGATCTTTTCATTTATACTTGTTAATCTGTTTGTTGCTACTATCATTTGAAAAGTGAGCTGCTTTTAGTATGCACAGCATCTCAGCATGGGAATAGTGCTATGCTTTTTACTAGAAAAAGGAAACTATGTATCATCTGTTACATATTTTGCCAGGACAAAATGCAGGTTGACCAAGAAGAAGGAGGTCATCAAAAATGTCATGCTGAACACACCCCAGAAGAGGAGATTGACCACACTGGGGCCAAGACAAAGGTTTGCTTTCCTATTTTTGTGGCTGTGTGATTGGAGCTTTGTCAGGTTTGGACTTTGTATCTGCTTGTTTGAGTGTGTCTATGTGGTGCAGGACTTTCTCACTCTTACATGTTCCCTCACTCTGAAGCCTCCCAAGTAGTTGGGTCACAGACCTGCACTACCTATCAGGCCTGGCTGAGATGAGATGAGATGCCTAGCTGATTTGTTTATTGCATGATGCTTGCCTTTTAATATGCTTAGTAATTTAAACTGCAGTGCTATGGAAAAGCATAAAAGCTTACAACTAAAATACCTACATTTTAGAGTTTTACTTAAAAGCTTTTAAAAGGACAAAACAAGCCAGGTGATGGTGGCACATGCTTGTAATCGCAGCACTCGGGAAGCAGAGGCAGGTGGATCTCTGTGAGTTTGAGGCCATCTGGGACTACAGAGCAAATGCCAGGACAGCCAGGACTATTACACAAAGAAACCCTGTCTCAAAAAATAAAAAACAAAACAAAAAACCCAAAAAGAACAAAACATAACATTACAAGTAAAATTATCTTTTGACAGGGAAAAATATTTTAATAACATTTCTTTTCATTGGAAATTACACAGTCTCAAAAAAATGGAGAAATGGAGCAATTCTAAATAAATTTAAATGTATAATGCTCTGCATGGAATTTTGGTCACATCATATTTTTCTTTAAAAAATATGGCCTGGGTGATGATGGTGCATGCCTTTAATCCCAGCACTCAGGAGGCAGAAGCAGGCAGATTTCAGTGAGTGCAAGGCCAGCCTGGTCTACAAAGTGAGTTAGTTCCAGGACAATCAGGACTGTCACACAGAGAAACCCTGTCCCAATAAACCAATTAAAATAAATCTTTGGTTAATAGAAGACAATACAGGGTCTCCCATATTCTCTGGCTAGCCTGGAATTCATTGTGTAGACCGACAGGCTGGATTTAAACTCACAAAGATCTCTCTCTGCCTCTCTGCCCCTCTGCCCCCTGCCCCCTGCCCCTCTGCCCCTCTGCCCCTCTGCCCCTCTGTCTCTGCCTTCTATGTCTACA